ACGACAGGCTATTACAAGCGATCGGAGGTCTCTACAGAAGCCCGAAAGCTTGTATGTAAACAGCCATCGCTGGCTGTTTACATTCAAAGCCGGTTTCCCGCTTGTGCGCTCCGCCTAGTGGCGGGCACAAGCGGGACGGGATAGGACGTCTAAAGACGCCCACCCGCCCTCAAGAAGCCGCTGTAGTAGACAGCAGGTAGTTAAGAGCCTGTACAGGCATATGAAAAAAAAGGTAACAAATTCTGTTTATAGAGTTGATGATTTTTTCATTTCAGTGGCAAACTTAGCAGAAAGGTAGAATACTACTTTTAAAAAAATCAAATTTTCAACTTTTTGTACCAACTTGCTCTTGTAATATTAACACTTCCTAAAGTAGATTTTGCTATATGTGGAAATCCTCTTCCTGAAATGCAGACATAGCAAAAACAAATTTATCATTGCCATGGATTTCTGCTAACAATACAGTTTATCTACAGGCTGAAGCCAATGACTTTTATTGAGTGGTAGGTCATCACAGGAAATCACATTCCTTGCTAAACAGTTTATGAATCATAATCTGCATTAATAAAACTGTCAAGGGATGCTTTCTTTTTAGGCTGGCCCTACACTGTGTATTTCTTAGCAATGCAAATAACTACTGCAATGGCAATTGTGTCATTCAAGGTTTGAACTTGCAGCCAGATGATCTAAAGGGGAATGGATAAAAGATTTGTTATCACATTTGACATGAGCTCTGAATGAGCTCTGAATCAAGGTGCACAATCACAAGGTGAAAAATTATGAGATATCTGCTTGGGTAAACAGTTGGGGGTGGCCTTTAGACATGTGCACCAGCAAAAAATTGTTTTGTTTCTTTTTTATTCAGATTTTTTGTTATTTCGTTTTTCAGTATTCGGGTCTGAAAGTCAATTTGTTTCTGGATTCGGATGAAATATGATTTTTTTGTTAATTTCGTAATATGTACAAAATTTTGTTACGAACAAATGTCCATTGCAGCAAAGTGACATTAGGCAAAAGGAAAAACATGATCTTTGGGTGGACTTAAATTAAATAGGTTTAAAGATTTGGATAGCCTGAGGAAGGTTAAAAACTTTTGCCTGGTGTTTTTGCTGTCTGTGCATTCACTGAGGCTATAATAATAGCAGGGGCTCAACCCCTATTCCATATGTGCAAAATTAATTGAATAGGCATAACATTTTGTGATGGCCTATCTAACACACTTATGTAAGAATCATATTTTATACACAGAACATTTGCTTGTTTTAATGCTCCTAACCTGGCCCTAAATTGTGCTCATGAGTGCATAAGCTATTCTACAGATGACTACATATCTGTTCATAGCAGGAAAGAAATGTGCAGCCACAATAGCTATACAAGGAAAAGCCATCTCTTTACCTCTGCCATCTACAGGCCATAATTTGGTGACAGTCCTATCTCTGCTGGCTCCACATCTATGTTTAGTGGGTATTTATGCTTCTACGGGGGGTTACATGAACTTTTAGGCTTTGCCTGGCTCTGTTCCATCACTACGGCAGCTCTTCTGTCAAGCCAGTTACAGAGGGTTGAGTTGGAACAACTTAGCAGAGAGCATTTACTGGGGTGTGGTTGAGACAAGTTTTTTTTTTGATGAGTCTGTTTTCTACATTGGAATAGTAAGTGCAATTAAATAATTTTTTACAACTTTTATTAAAGACAATGGGGGAAATGTATCAAAGCAATTGCGACAGTTTTAGACTCTTAGATAATTTTTTTTTAATGTGCAAATCTGTCTTTTAACATGTGCACCTGTTTTGACCTGAGCTTGCACTACTTTTCCAATTGCATTTGTTTTGTGCCTGTTTTGCACCTGTTTTCGTCCGCACTTGTTCTGTGGCTGTCTGAAACTGGAGCATCATCCAAGAAAACAATGGCAACTTAAGAAGTCCCCATGACCACTTCTTCAAGAAGCGACAGTTAAACTTTTTGCCTGGAGTTACACGTCTTCTTTCCTGGAGTTTATTAAACCTCATTTATGAACAACATTAGACTAGCAACATCATTCTGGCGCAAAGTGCATCAAATATATTCGGTGCAAGTTCAAACACTCGCGATTGCCATGATAAATTCCCCCCAATGTTCTTTGCTATTAGCTTGTAAGGATTTTCAGTCTTGAACAGTGGCCAACGTTATCTGTGGAGAGTGTGTTCTGCCATGTCCACAAAAGCATAAATTCTAATCCGGCAACATTCTAAGCTTGCAAAACGCCGGATGCAGCCACGTTTTCTTTGATTATGAATTGTAGAAGGAAAAACAAAAACTGGCCTGGATTTGGCAAAGAGGCAGCTTGCAGTATTTGTGAGATAGAGACAGGAGCCCAGGCAGAGTCAAAACATCCTTGCTATCCTTTTTATCATATTAACAAAAGGTCAACCTCATCTGTTTAAGTCAAGTTACCAATTTACATAAAGGGAAGATTATGTGTGTGCATGTATAAGGTTACAGCGTAAGCTAAAAAAGGAGAATTGTGGACAGCTCTCGTGATAGGCGAGCGGAGAGTAATGACAGATCCCGTTTATCTATGAAAGCTGCTAATTAGACAGGGTTCATACAATATCGGAGAGCTGACTACGCAGCATATGTTAGAGTGGGATAAGAAGATGTCTAAGAAAAGCGGAATGGTTCAATAATGTCACTGTGCTGATTAGTATTGTCCTGAGCTGGAACTGTTTAACTGGGATTTCACAGACTGAATCTTTTAGCTATTCACCATCACAGCACTACTGTACAATGCCAGTAGACAAGACGTCTGCCTCAGCTAAGGGGGAATTCCAACCAGTAAATACTGCTAATAAACTAGGAACTGCTTAATGACTGCTAGAGGACAAAAATCTGTTTTCTGCACGTTTGCCTGTTTCAAGTTACAGCATTGTGTGGATGGGGATGGGGCACTGCTGGATGGAGTTGCATTGTGGTTAGTGGACAGTTTGTATTAGAAGCACAAAGTAACTGGATGTCACAAGTAACCTTCAGTTCCTGCAATAGGCCTAACATTTTCAAAGGATTTTTGATTTTCTTCTACATAAATGCATTTTTAAAAAAAGCAGAGATGCTGTAAAATTGCCGTCTGGAGACGGCAACCCGCAGATGCTGCAGTGCCGTCCGTCCGTTTTTTTACTACGGGCGGACGGCAAGAGGTTAAAGAAATATTATGAGGATGTGACCTAATAAAATATTTGTGTTTTTCTGAAGGCACAAGGGTAAAGTATGTAAGCCCAGTCATTAAAAAATTAAATAAGCTTTAAAGCAGAACTTCAGCCAAAAATAACAAGATAAAAAATACATTTTTCTGGAATCTTCAGCTTTTATCTGGCAATTTTAAGTATCTTTTTCTGCCATTAGATGTCCTCAGTGTGATGGCCAACATCATTCAATCCACTTCTTGTGAGACCAGGTTGTCCTGGGCCCACCCCAGCCTGTGACTGGACAGGGAAAGGAGAAGCAGTATAATGATGAGTCACTTTGGTTTCTCTTCCTATCAGCATACTTGTCATCATGAACTGACTGGCTCCTTGTGCTACTACTTCTAATATTCCAGCCCTGCTATGTAGGGGCTGATACCAGGTCAAATTCAGGTACTTAGTTTTATCCAGGTTCAAGTGCAACATACAAGTGTTAATGATTATGGAGCTGAATTAACTTCTGTCTGTTAGATTTGCCTAGAGTTCAGCTTTAAAGTGTTAAGAGAATTCCAGTTGAGATTTACAGTCTTTATGGCCTCTAGGGGGAGCCAAGGAGCAATGGAATTTCCTTTGCTTCTCAGCCCTGCCTTGTGGTCATAATCCTCTGCGAATCTCATTTGCATAACTGTTCGCTATATGATTTTTATTAATCACCCCGTTAGTAATATTGCTTTAAATTGTCCTTGTTCAGTCATGTCCTGGTATAAGGTAACAACGCTCCAACCTATCTCCCAGTTAAGCTCCTGTGTTGTCACCCTGTCACATGCCTTTCCATGGTTATTTTAACACACATTGCACATGTTCCACTGTTGTCATCATCAGGAAACCCATATGGAATGCCATGGAGCCATCAATGGAGTGCATGTAGATAGGAAGTGGTTGTAGCACTGTGCAGCACTGAGTTGCAACAAAGGATAAAAATATGATAACAAGCGTTTAAAATGATAAACTACATGTCATTCCCTTGGGTTTTTTATCTACTTTCAGCAGGGGTAGACAACCTTGGCACTTAAACAATGGTAAAACTGCCAAACCCATCATGGCTCTGCCATTGGCAATCATGCCTGTGGCTAAGGCTGCCTACCCCTGATTTCATGCATGGATCAAATGTAGATCAATATAAAGTTTTATTTCCAACATTAAAATATTTTCATGTATTGCAAAAATATTGGAAAAGACAAACCCTTTATTCTAGACTTCAAATGAAGTTCCTGTTTTTGTTTTATATCACAGCATTCCTCTCCTGTTACTCCTGTCATGCTGTATAACATGACAAGACTGTATTCCCTAGAACTGGAGAAGAAACCCATTCGGCTTTGGCTGTATTAGAATTCATGAAGCCTTATTTAAATGTAACATTTCCTTTTAAAACCTGTCTGAGACATCACTACCCAGAGGTGGTTTTATCGATCTGAAGCTTATGTGTTAACACTCAATATTATCACCTTTTAATGGTTTATCAGACTTTCCACCCACAAAAAAAAACATTAACAGCTAAGACTGACATGTGATAACTCATTAAAGGGTGATAATACAGGTTTAACACAACCAATAAAACAATACATTTCAATATGGGAACAGAAATTAGTTAATAACACAACCACAGTGTTGAAAAAGCACATTTCACCAAGGTAATTGGCATCCACGCGCTCCATTGACAACCTGACTTTCACACTACCGTTAAGCATGCAATTTCCAAATCTATTAGACATCTCTTGATCGGCTTTTCCGCCGCCTTGTATTGAACCAGGTGTGAGTGGGTAAATAAATGGATTTACTGACCTGTCAGAAAATCAGGGTCGGGAACAGGCTCAGATATCTCTTCGTGACACTGTGTTTCTGATGGTACGGTTGTAACAAGAAGACCATCTGGCAGCTGATGCTCCAATCCGCGAGCAAAGTTATTTTGTCTGCAACAGAAGAAAGATGAATGCCATGTAGTTTGCCTTTAGAGGTGGCTCTTGATGAAGTTTCTTTTTCTTCAAATCAGAAGCATAAAGAATCAAAGTGCAGTACAAAAGTCTAACTACATGTCTGTGATAAGAGATAGCAAATGGGGGTATATATCATTTAAATGAGACCAGTACTGGGGCGAATATGGAGGCTGCCATTACTGTTTTCTTACTGAAACTCTTAACTGTCTGGATGGTACAATATGCTGACAGGAAATGGAGTAAAGCAGTGGGACCCTAAGCTGGGTAAATGCTGTTGATTGATATTGATAAAAATTGCAAACCACCAAACAATTGGTCACCATCAAAGAAAGTAAAATGAGATCTCAACAGAGTTACAGACAACATTAAAATCTTAGAAAAGTTATAATTCTTCGCTGCTGTACCCAAAATTAAAAACAGGGAATGACTAGAGTTGCAATCTCATTCTGATGTGTTGATAACTGGCATGTGTATAAAAGGATCCAAAACTATATTGAACTGAACAATCACTTTCTCAAACAATCATCCCCGCGCAGCTACGGCCTCATGTATCACTTGCCCCTCCCTTTTAGATTGTAAGCCCTCACGGGCAGGGCCCTCCTTACAATCTTGTCTTAAATTGTATTGTGACTGTAATGTCTTCCTTATATTGTAAAGCGCTGTGCAAACTATTGGCGCTATATACATCCTGTATAATAATAATAATATCTGTTCAGATATCATTGAGGTATCTTTTGTTTACCTTGGAACACTATCCGGGTTATTCACAAAAGGGTGAAGAATTTGGAGAAGGCAGGAGAAGTGAACAATCTAGGACAACATAGCTGAGCTGGAAAGTGAGCTGAATTGGAGAATTTTTCCAAATCAACTATTTTAGCCAAGATTGTTCACTTCTACTGCCTTCTCCAAACTCCTCAGACTTTAGTGAATAACCCTGTAGGGTTAATATGATTCACTATAATTTGCCCATGTGGGTACAATTAGTCCTCCCATTTAAAATGTACAGTATGTCTATACAAAACTATATACTTAGTTTTGAATAGAGTTGGGGAGATTTAAGACCCCTGTCAGTTTAATTTTTGCTGTCTGTATTCCACTGGTGAGTTTTTCCTGTACGTCCTGTCTGGTGGGTGCAACAGGAAGGGAGAGGAAACACCTACAAAATGAGGGCAAATCTTCTCTTAGACAGTTGTCACTGGAACAGGTGTCCCCATTGGAAAATGTATTCTCACTTAATGTTCCGCTGATAAATGTAAAATTTCCCATTATTTCTTTTATCTGTGACAGTGGGCACCAGGACAGATAGGGTGAATCTCCCAAACGAGGACAGAGGCAACAATACAAACTTGACAGTGGTTCTAATTTCTCCCTAAATTAGTCCCTACTCTATCCATATTTTTTTTTAAAGTATTGGCTATACTTACACTTTTACCCTCACTGGATGCCCACATGCTTCAGATTTGGTCATAGACATGGGCTGATTCATGGCTACCTTCATTTCTAGTGTTTTAGAAAGATATCCTAGTAGACTATGTTTACGGAATAATTATATACATA